TCTCTCTCTCTCTCTCTCTGTCTTCAGAATTTTCGATTGATTTTTCGATTGAAAATGTTTTTTTCTGATTCACAGATCCCATTCCAGATGTTGATTACGTCAATCGCAGGAACCCTGGCTTTAATGTCTCTGACGAACTGGTTGACGAAAAGTCCAAGGCTATCAAACAAAAAGAAGGCATGACCGAAACTCTCGACTCGCCAATGTACTCTTCCTTGGTAGGGAATATTCCTCATGTATATGGTTCCCTAAAGGGCCTTCACAAGACACACGAAGACAAGACAGATACTGAGGTCACGTGCACATCACAAAATAAGGAAAACAGTCTTTATCAGAGCCTAAATACTTTTGGTCAGCACAGTCATGGCGAATATCAGGCGCCAAAGTACAAAAAAGAGAAACCTGACAATAAAAACTAAAATATGGCAATGTAATTAGTTCTCGCTAAATTCAATATTAATAATGTAAATTTTGTAATCACTATCGAATCCTATAATTTGATTCGTTAAAATCATGGTGCAATTTAAGCAATAATTGCAATTTAAACAATAGCCTTATTTTGAAACATTTATTGCATCATTTTGCTCCGCTTCATTTATTTGAACCAATTACAAGAGAGATATGTCATTTTCTAATCAAGATTGTTTCTAGCTTTCTTTATCACTTCTCGTCATTTCATTTATTCAATAAAAGCTTAACACCGAGTATAATGTTTGTGATATGACAGGACTGCACATAAAATTGGTGGCTGGCTATCGTGTTCTTATCTAAGTATAGAGCCACGTTCACGTGACAAAAGTCTCTGTAGAGCTGTAGGGTACTAAAGCAACAAGAAAAAATCAGCTAGGGTTTCAAGAGTATTGAATCCCTAAGCTGTGATGGCCGACAGTCTTAGTACTGAAACACATGGACGTGCGCATATATACTGCTTATGTATAACAACGTTTATGTTGCAATCATATTACGTGAAGTAGAATGAATCCTAAATACAATTAGACGAGTTTAAAGTGTTAGCTGTCTATTTAATTGATAAATATGAGTAATAAAATTTCATCTCGCATCATAAATCACTAAATATCACAAAAAATCAGTTATTAATTTTGCATTGTCGAAAAGAAACTTTCAGCCAGTTCGCACTTCCACCTTCATTGAAAGAGAACACCCGTTTTTATCAGCACAAACTTCAATATAATGCACTTCTGTAACTTCCGCATGGGAAACGTTTCAAGAGTGCTCTTTGTCTGGATATGCTGTTGCTAAATCAGGTTTCTAATATTTTGATTGACGTCACGATTATTCACATCGGATACAAGTACAAACTTGTACATATGTACATATGCATACGTTGGTTGCTGACACTACACCAATGCTTAAACACACAGAAGGAAATTCAAGCAGAGGTCCATCGAGTCTCGAGTCAAGGATGCGAGTACCGTGTCATCTCAACCTCAAGGGTCCTCGTAAATAAAAAACCAAATGAGCGTGTGCTT